CTGAAAAAAGAGCGATGTCGTGATGACCGGTGAGGAGGTAACCAATGTCAAGGCAGAGCGTAGCTCAGCCTCGTCTGACAATGCTTTCAGCCTTGCAGGAGTGTGGACGCGCTCGCTTTCGCCGGTCCCAATCAAGATTCCATGGTTTATCTGCACCTCTCGTTCTCGAGGGCGTGTATACGGCTCACAGAACTCGGCCGTCGACTGCGTGACGCTCTTATACCTGCGGGCTGGTCCGGTGGCGCTGCGGCTGTCTCTACATCACACTTCCCTGCGTTGCCGGTAACGCAAAGACGCACTGTGCTCTCTACGCACATGCATATTACCGAAGTGGCTCATCTTTTGACGTTGTGTTCCCATCGGCTGCTGCTAAGCTGCAGTAATGGTCGTTCGTGTGTCGCGCTGAGTGGCCCTGCCTCACCAGGAAGGAATGCAGTAGCTGCATCGGCTAGGTATCGAGCGCATTACCGAGCACCCGTGGACAGCTCGCCTCACTTCTCCCATGCTGCACGAATATACAGTCGCGCATACATTAGGGCTCTTGGTGTTGACGAATTTCTAATCAGAAGTATTGGTTGCTCCCTAGTGCATCGAAAGCAAGTGGTGTATCTGAGAAACAGCGGAACCAACCTCAATCCTACAAACTCAAAACACTTTCTCATAACGAAAGAAGCGCGCTGTACAACGCCTCATCAATGCATACAGCGCCATGCAACACGCGCAAAGCACGATTCGTGCGCACATGTGATACGCTGACCAGACGCCAACCGCAAGCTTCCGGTTCTGTCATGCAGCTCCAAATAACGCCCCGCATTACCGAAGACAACGACGTGATGCACGAGTTTTGCCGTTGCCGTAAGGGTATAGGCACCTACGAACTTGTCTTTTTCTTGCCAAAATGCATGTGCCCAAGACCATGCTCCTTTGCATCCTTCATCTCACTCTCAGGTTTTCCATCAGGTAGATCGTTGGTGTGAGCTGCTCCTGAGACGTGATACTTCAAGCTCTCCGCAATTCCGCCAATGTGGCCCCCGCTCTGGTGTGACCCAGTAGGCTGGTCTGCGGATCGCGAGTGGCTAGCAACATGACTAGAATTGTCAGGACGATCTGGATGCGTGGGGTCTGAGATTGCCGTTGTCGGCCCACTCGTTGTCGCGTCTGTGCTTGTTCGAGAAGCAGAACCGTTCGGCTCCATTAGGACTTTTTCCCCATTCGGGCCATGTGGTCGGACATGCTTGGTGTCACTATCGCCGCTGTCCCTCCGGCCGGGAGCTTCGACAATGGTGGTACCCTTCTTGTTCTCGCTTCGGACGCTGTTCGCTCGGCTGATGTCGGACTTCTCGTTGGGTGGGCTCGCTGTGCGGACACCTAGATCTTTGTCTTCGGACGGCTCCACGCCCTTGGTACCCCTCCAATCTGCGGGCTCGGCTTGTTGCACAGGCTCACCCTCCTTCGGTTCTGTAATGACAACACCAGGTCGGCCCTCTTCGCTAGACAGTGCGCGCCAGACTACGGCTATGCGCTCGAAAGCTTGTGTGCCTTTTCGAGATGAGCCTTTGATGCCGTCCATGGCTTCCCATGCAATCTCAAACATGCCCGACTGGTCCACATTGCCATTCTGCTCAGGGCCGTTCCCTTCGAAGTATGTGTTGAACCACACGTGTGCGACAGCGGTGACCATGGTCAGATCGAAGGCGGCTTTGTTACGACGCTCGACGTCAATGTTGATGTCGTTGGTGGGCAGAACTACGCGCTTGGCGGGACGGAAGACGACGTCGCCTGTGCCCGTGGGTAGGCTCTCGCGCGACGATCTTGGCTCGGCCGTGGTGGCGCCATCGACATTGCTCTGTTGCTGCTGCTCGAGGGAGGAAGTCGAGCCATTCTTGGGGCCTTCGCTCGTCTTGGATGGGCCGAAGCCGTTCTTGTACATGACCTCCTGCACTGCCTGTGCCATGCCGGTGGTCTTGACTTCGCCCCGCACAATTTCCCTCTCATCGCGGGTGAAGGTGTGGAAGTTCTTGATGAGCTTGCCATCCTCGACGAAGCCCTCGATCTGGATCTTGACACCGTCTCTGAGGCCCCAGCAGTGTACTTCAAGTATTTCGACTTGCCGCTCGACATACAGCTTGCCGTGCTTGGCCCAGCGATCCACGTAGTCTATCCATCGGAGCTGGCTGGGGATGCTGACGCCTTTGCCCATGTTGGGACGCATGCGCCGCTCGGTGAAGCGGTCCAGAGCCTTGTGCACCGGCCAGCCTTCCTCGCTGATGAGGTAACTGCAACTAGCAGTTCCCGATCGCCCTTTCCCGGCCTTGCAATGTACGACGACGACCCGCCCCTCCTTCTCATGGAGCCAGTTGCGCATGCTGGCCATGATGTTCGGTATCAGGGCGAAAGGCGGCGGGTGATGATCGGGGAAGGGATAATGGTAGACGCGACCGTAGACCTCCGAGTCGGGATAGCCCGTCCCTTCAGCGCGAAACTCCCATATGGCCCAATCGTCGCCATGTTTCGAGTCGAGAAACTTTACGAGCGAGTCAAGCGGGTTGCGATAGGCGCGCTGTGGGTAGGTGCCGCTAGGGCCCGAAGTAGCGATTACTAGACGATGTCAGAGAGCGGTTGATAGAAACCTTCTGGGAGCGACCGTACTGTTGTCGGTCACATAGCATAGGTCGAGGCCAGCTTCAGCATGCCTGGCGCGAGGGCCGGCTACGAGTTGCCGCAAAAGCGACGCCTGCGATGGTCAGTTCGAGTTCCCACGGTGTCGTCTTTCTGTTATGCGCACCATTATTCCGGCGGTCGTCTGAAGTGTCAAGGAGCAATATTGCGTCTTGGCTCATGGCGGGAGTCGAGGCGCGAGGGATGCTGCCTCTAGGCGCGGGCAGGCGCGACCGAAAGGTGGGTACGTCACCCTGCCCGGCTTCTGCGCTAGGCGTCGGTTCCTGCCCAGACCTGCTCTCCTCCCCGCCACCTTAACATTTTTACTCGCCACACGCCTCACAGCCACATCATACCCCATTTGACATTGGATCGCATGCACGCAAGTACCGCAACCATCGATTCCATACTACATGTGACGATTGTCACTTGAACTCACTGACTGACATGCTGTTTCCTTGCCGAAATACCCGTTTCAGCCTGATCCGCATCCGGCTGTCGTCTCAAGCAGGCACATCACAGATCAGCCTGGTCTCACCAGGCGACGGATCATGCAAGCGTATGTCATACAAGTTTGGTAACATTCGTTTTTGGGCAACTAACTGTCTGTAGTGTATTACTCCTATCAGTTGCTGAGGTCGTCAACATAGCTATCGAGGAGCTTGTTGCAGTAGCCAGTGAAATGACTACGCCATTCACATATGATACGCGATACCAAGATCCAAGAGACTGTATGCCGAAAGTACAGTTGCTTGTGAACGAACTGCGCTTTCTCGCTGATGAACTTGAAACACACGCACTTGAAGTGGGAACTGGACTTGGTATTTTCCTTGCTCAGTCTACTCTGAAAACCACCCGATTCGCAAAATCCGCAACATGGAGCAGCGATCAAGTCGCATTGGAAACCTTGCATCAGAAGGCCACCTCTTGGAATACCTCTGATTATCCTGGTCTTTCGTATGTGCTCCAGATGAAGCTTTTCCGCGATCAGCCTCATCTGCTGAACGACAACGTCGAATTGTTCCTTCTATACAGAGAAGGTTTCCTTCTTGCTGTCGACAATCTTTTCAATCACTTGCAGATGCACATTCCGACTTCGCTGAAAACCTGTCATCATTTCATCCCCAGTGCGTTCGCTAGTATACCCACCATTGCTTCACGACTTCGGCAACGCAATGTCCAGGATTGCTTGGGTCGGTCTGTGTCCCACATTCTGTACGACGCAAAATCCTTGAAGGAATGGTCGCCCGATGACATGCGCGCCATAGATAGCCTCCAGCGTTCAAGCTTGTATCTTTCTTGCTGCGATGGGAATCATGACCGCTTACTAGAGCTTGTTCGGTCAGAAGTTTCTCCCAGTGTCGAAGCTGCGAATGGTCTATTTCCATTGGACATTGCAGTCATTTCTGGAGATCTAACAACTTGTGCAACAATCTGGAAGATGGAAGTCGCCCTTCACGAGTTAACCTCGAATACCGAAAACCCTGTATGTGTGGACACCAGGTATGGCCAACTTGGGGCTCGGCGTCGGTCTCCAATGATGTGGGCTGCTTTTGCCGGGCACGTCCATATCATGAAGTTCTTCAAAAACTATGAGAATACATATCCGAATGCCACGGCCGTAAGAGACAGTACCCAGAGTAATGCAATCGGACTTGCGGCTATGCGAGGGAAGAAAAACGTCATCGAATACCTGAGTGGCTACCCTTGCCATATCCCCGATGCCCATGGACGCAGTCCCCTCTGGTATGCGGCAAGCATTGGGCACGTTGATATCTTCAAGTTCCTATGCAAGAAAGACATGTTCCCCGATCGACAAGACAATTACGGATATACACCGCTTGCCATAGCAGCACACAAAGGTTACTTACCGATCGTGAACCTGTTGCTTGGGAACTTGGTTGACATCTCAATACCTACGAACGCAGGACATACAGCATTGTATCTTGCAACTTCTGGAGGACACCTGGCATGTGTCAAGTTGCTTTTGCCCCAGAGTATTGTTAGGCTAGGTGCCTCAAAAGTTTGGAGCGTATATGCCTTTGCTCAGAGTCTGGGCCATCAAGAGATTTGTAGAGCATTCGAAGTCTATGGGCTCGACCATTTTGACCTTCATCATGCCGCGTGTTCATCGGAAGAACGGGCTTTACCTTATATAGCTTGACAAAAGAGATTCATGGCCCCTAGCAGTATCCAGCGGAATTCTCACGCCAGTAAACAGTTTACGTTGGTCTCGCTAGATGCGCCTGGTTATGCGAGTGCTTGCATAGACAGGTCATTTCCAACGATGCCTATGTCTTGTATTCGGCTAGATAGAAGATGTAAAACATGAAGCCCTACTTCTAGCTCAGAAATCCACCCTGTCTCATCCACTTTTCACACATGCTCGGCCAATCGCTCACCGGAAGTCCCAGCGTGTCCAATGCAAACCCGTGCGGCGCATCCGAGAAAACGTGAAGCTCTACAGGAGCACCAGCTTTCATGATGCCTTCAGCGAGCCTATATGCATTCACCACCGGCACGACCGGATCATTTCCAGCATACACTATGAAGGTTGGCGGAACCCTGCTCTCCAACTGTACGTCTGGCTGCACCGTATCGTAAAGCGCCTGTTTCTCCGGCGGCTCCAGCGCTGGCTTGTTCGGAATGATCTGGCGTCCTTTTGCATTCGTCGAGATGGGCGCATAGCCAATGATAGCGAATTCAAGGTATGGAACACCACTTTCGGCATTCGGGTTGCTCCAACAGGTGGGATACGTCGAGAGTAGCGATGCAGCGAGATGACCACCGGATGAGAGACCGCATACACCCATAGGGCGTACTCCAAAGCCCTTCTCATAAAACATTGTGAGCGCCCGTCTGGCGTCGTCAATTGGCGCCTGAATGCCCGTCTCTTTATTCGGAAAACGATGTATGAGCACGAAGGCATGAAATCCTAGCCCTGCTAGCCATCTGGCTACCTGCACACCTTCTCTTCCCACCATGAGCTCGATGTATCCTCCTCCACCTAGAATAAGGATATTTCGTCCGTTTGGTGTAGACGTGGTGGGCTTAAAGGCGAAGAGCCAGGGACGCGTGACGCTTGTTGCGACGGCCTCGTCGATGCCATTGGCAAGGTCGAGTTCGAAGGCTCCTTCGATGGGCCCATCTCTGTAAAGTGGCCATGCCCAGTCTGCATTGAGAGGGTTCGGAAAACGCATTGTTGCTTTGGAAAGATATGGTGTTGTTTTGAGTATCGATGTACGGGTACACATGTGTTTTTACGCTCGGGGTACGTAGTTTATCTCGCGGCATCATTGCGCCGAAACTACCGAACAGTGTCCCATGATTCCAATCGATCTGACAACCTTGGAAGACTTCAAAACCACACTTAGGACGCTTCCGTCCTGCGAACGTCTTGGTATTGCGCGAATGTAACGCATATCGATTCTTGGTTGAATTTCCAGGCAAATTGAAGGTTATATTCGAATATTGCGCTGCATGTCGTCTGTCTAACCGCTCCTCTTGTACCCACTCCTACTCCTCAACGTCTCGCCATACCTCGCCAACACAAATGGTATACACGCACCCAGAATGCTCAAACAACCCAACAACGTACACGCCCACTGCGGACCGAGCCGTCGAAACATCTGGACTGCGAAAAGAGGAAAGGTTCCGCCAAGTACATATCGCAATATGGCGTTCGAAGCCATGGCACTGGCGCTGTACAAAGGTCCGTAGGTGTCTGTAATATACATCATGCACGCCATGAAAATGAGCATATTACCCCCTCCGAAGAAGGCTTCGGCGATGGTCGGTACGATCCAATGGACGCGGTAAGCGGCCGACCATCCGAAAAGGAAGAGGCCAATAGTGAGAATAGGACCACCAGCGAATGCAAGAGGCAATCGCTTTTCAGGTGCTAGTCGCGACGTTGCGAAAGCCGGTGCTGGAGTCTTCTCTGCAATCGCTTTGCGTACGCGAGGCAGGTAGTAAAGCTTACTAAAAGACACGATACAGATCGTAGCAATGATGACGCCAACGCCCAAACCCAGGAACGTGTAACCTGTTGAGACACTGTCGAAGCCATACTCTGTCGCGAAGACGTATGGAAAAGCGGCGAAGAAGGCGTATAGCAAGCCGAAGTTGAATGCAGAGTACGTATTGAACGTGGCCACGATCGGCTCGGTGAGGAGCATATGCATAGGCCGAGTGAGCGTCTTGGTCGCATATGTACTGACAATCTTCGGCAGCGACATGCCTTCAGTCGGCGATCGCGGCAGCGGAAGATTCCGCTTCTTTGCGCGCTGACGAAGGAGGACAGGCTTGTACGACTCCTTGTAGAACGGTGCAGGTGCAATGACAAGCACAATAGTAAAGAAAAGTATCAACCAGGAAGTCCAGCGCCAGCCACGTGTCTGTGTCACTGCAGCACCCAAGATCGGCCCTAAGGCTGGGCCCATGAACGGTGTTGCGACATACAGCGACATGGGACCAGAACGCTTCTCAGGCGGCCAGATATCGCTCAGGGTGCCTGACCCCATGCTCAAACTGGGAGCAGCGAAGAAACCAGCCCAGAACCTTAGCACCACCAGACTCGCCATACTTTGCGCGAAACCCGTCCCGAGTATGAAGAGCGCGAAGATAGGCAGACTGATGAAGATGAGGGGTCGCCGTCCGAATGTCTCGCTCAGAGGCGCGGCGAATGGTCCGCCGAAAGCGAGTCCGAGAGCGTATATGGAGTATGCGAAGGTTGCGATGAGTTGGGTGGAGTGGAGCTCTGATGCTGATTGTTCGATGGCGGGTGTGAAGACGGATGATGCGAAGGTTCCTACAAATGCGATGCCTGATATCGTGTATGTTTGATACCATTTTCGCGCTGCACTCCAGTTGTGAGGATTCAGAGGATCTTCGGGACCGTCCCAGTCGAGCGCTGAAGGGCGATCTTGTGATGAGGTATGAGGAGCGCTGGGTGTTGCTTCTTGACCTGCATTCTGTGGAGAGCCTTTTTCGGGATCGATGCCTGGATTGAAGTCTGCTATCGTCGACGATTGGCGACTTTTGTCATGGTCCTTTTCGATGTTGACAGGACTTGGTGGTCTTGTCGATGCTGCTGTAGTATTCGACCAGGAAACGGGTCGTGAAGCATTCGGAAGAGCCATGCTGTGTATCCTTCACTTTGCTGTGGCGAGGGCAGCAACAGCTGGCAAAATTTCGACAGAACCTTTGCAGGACATGACAGAGTCACTCGCGCCACGATCTTAGTATGACCCACCCTGATGAGATTCCGATAAGCAGATGTTCTGAACAGACGGCATGATCGCCGCTTGTGTGTTAGTTTGGCGTTGATCAGATATGGACAAAGAGTTCTACGATCAGGATTGGTAGGTATCGAAACTGTACATGGCCGATCCTGGCTCAGATCTTTCCCAAGAATCGGCATGGTGAGCTTGTTCGAGATCAAGATGCGGCTGAAATTGTGGATCGTGTGAAGCTAAAGTTCGGGACCGTGCCGGGCGCTACACTGGCGAGTCGAGCATGATGACGTCCTTTCTTCGATCTCAACATTTTGTAGTTACTCATAATGATCACAAGAATACCATGTGGATTCTTGATGTGCGTAGAGAAATGCGCTCACCGGCACGAAGGCTGGTTATCTTTAGGTCGCCGAGCAGCGCACAAACACGTACCTACCGAGCTGGCTTCCAGTCCAGCCAGAGAGCTGGTAACGCGATGACGAAGGACATGTACATGGCCGGGATCCTAGCTCTTGTCGCGCTCTGATGAAATCTGCAGCATAGTTTCGAACAGCGTGTCGCGAATCAGCAGCGCATGTCACAGCGGTCTGAGCTGGAAGCCCTGACTCCTCGCCGAAGTGATCCTGCCTGAGCCCCGTAGACGCGTTCACACCCAACCCACCTAGAATCGCGGACTATCGCAGCAAGAAGAAAAGTTACGCCGGGGGTGGGGAGCGAAGGATAGGGAGGAAACAAAGTCTCGCAACCGTTGCCAAAAGACATCGCTGGAGCCTTAGGCTATCCTTCATGGTAGATCCTGCAGTACTGCGCCCGCTAATCGCAGATCCGACCCAGCCAATCGCGCCAAAACACCAACACCACCACTACTCCCCCACGCGTCCGTAGAGGCTCATCTACCACGACGCTCACGATGGATGAAGGTAAGATTGCGAAAACTATGACTGAGCCACTGCATCGCCTGCGTAATCGCAAACTTGCGCAAGCAGCACGAGAACGGCGCGATGAAGTATAACTTCGCGCTGGTGCATGCCGTGATGAAATTCAACATCCTTGAACGATAGCAACGACTCAACCTCAATCCACCTTTGCGCATTCGTGACTTGCGCGACAAGCCGTCTTTACAAGAGCTCCCTATTCATTATGTCCTCAGTCCTATCGCTCGAGATCGCGCGTGCTCTCTTCCCAGCTCTCACCAAGGACGCGTCGCCTAGATCATCGACAACCGAATCCATCCCTTCATCTATCAAAGTCGACGCGAAAACCCAGATGAAGATCAAAGTTGTTGAAGACGTCAAGTTCCCGAGTACGACAAAATCGTTGCGATCGTTGCCATGTCTCCCTACGACAGCGATGCAGACCCAAGCACACAGTCCAAACTGCTCCGGTGGAGGTATCTGGCATGCTGCACCGCTGCCCCATGTTGGTCTAGCCAGTTTCCAGCGACGACGAAGAGGATGATCGGAGTTTGAGCAAGTTGAAAGGAGGATATCGAGAGCATACCAGCGGACATCTCTTCAGCATGAGGTCAGGGCGTTGAATTCAGAGCGCAACACCTGGAGCGATCATCCTTGACTGCACCGGAACGAATCAGTGTCAGATAGCCACATCCAAAGGTTTAAGAAACAAGACACGGAGAAGGGAGGTCTTCCAAGCCAAATCGCCATGCGCGCAGCAGGCTTGCTGACGGTGTCAATTACGGGATAGCGTTGAGAGCCTGAGTGAGCATATCAAGTTATCCTACCTTCGAATGCAAGGAGGAAAGTCCAGTTGCGAAAAGCAGAGTTTAGATGAATATGTTGCACTACAACGCCAAACAAATGCTATTGCCTCGCGCCTAGAAAGGCAAGAAAAAAAGAAACCACAAGACAGTGGTCAAACACACACTAAATAAACTTTAAAATCATACACTACCACCATCTAACCACCACCACCTCTGCAAACTAACACATCCCCCTAAGCTCCCTTCCATGCCTGCCCACCTTTTACTGCACATCAAGCACATTCTTCAACTGCACAATCAACTTCCACTCATCCTGACTAACATCGCTCCTGAAGTACTCCTTGAGGGTGTCGATACTCTTTCTGCTAATAGCAGAGTAGAGGATATCGTCTTCTTCCAAGTGGCGACCGTACATGGGCTGGTTGGAGCCTTCGATTTTGACGGCGACTGAGGGCTGGCCTCGCTTGCAGATTTGCATGGGTTTGTGGTCGCGCTCGATGGACGTGCTATTAAAAAGATTAGTAAGGTGATCTGAAAGGAAAGGTATGGGACAACTTACACTCTGCCTAGATGAACGAGCTCCTTGGCACCGGTGGTAGCGTTCTTCTTGACCGCGCAAATGGGCGTTGTCATCCTCAGAGCACCTTCAGTGACATCCACACCAATGATGATGGGATCCTTCTTGTTGAAGACAGCAACGGGCTTGAGTACGCAGGGGAAGACGGCTAACATCTTTGAATCCTCCTTCCGCTGTTCCTCGAGCTGCTTCATGTGCGCTGTGAACTTGTCGAACAAGTGGTAGATGATGTCGGCTTCGAAGATCTTGACACCGATTTCCTCTGCGTATGCCTTGGCGTCCTTGTCGACCTTGACGTCGAAACACAGCATGACAGCGTATTCCTTAGCCTTTTCTAACATGATACCTGCTCGAAGGACGTCCTTTCTGAAGACAGGACCGATGGAGATGGTGGCGACGGGAATCTTGGAGACACGCAGGAACTCAAGGAGCGCTTCGAGCGAACCAAGGGTAGACGCTTGTACGGAGACACCACGACCAGTCTTGGAGACTTTGCTGAGCAAATGGGCTAGATCACCCATAACCTCGTCCATGAGATCCTCCTCATCGTCATTCGGACCGACAACAAGCAGACGCGAACCTGCAATGGCTTGGTCAAGACCGTCGGCGGCGATCTTGATACCCATAGCAGCCTTTACTTCCTTGTTGTGCACGTATTGCGACTTGACACGCAACTCTTTCATCTCAGCCGGTGTCAATAACGCTCGAATGTTCGTCACTATGGGCTCTGGGTTACCACATAGCACTATCCGGTCACCTTCGTGAAGGACACCGTTGGACAAGATAACATCGATAGTAGTACCGAGACCTTCGATGACCTTGACTTCAAGCACAGTACACTCAACCTCAGAAAGGTACATGAGGTTATTGGTCAGACGCTCTTGCGTGAGTCTGACGATGAGCTTGATCATGTCTGGAATACCTTCTCCGGTATGCGCTGATGTTGGGCACACGGAGACGAACTTGGACATGCTCTTGTTTCGGTTGAAGATCTCCGAGTTGAAACCTTGTTCTTGGAGTTGGGTGCGAACAAAGGTCCATCGCTCCTCAAACTCGGACTGAACGGACGCCTTTTGGAGGCTCAAACTGTCTTCGAAACCGTTGTTATCGATCTTCTTCCAGCCGAACAGACGATCGATCTTGTTGAGAGCGACAATGAAAGGTGTGCGCCTGTCTCGGAGTAGCTTCATCGATTCGATGGTTTGAGGTTCAAGACCGTGCATGATATCAATGACGAGGATAGCAATGTTGCAAAGCGAGGAACCACGAGACCGGAGGTTGGTGAAAGACTCGTGACCAGGTGTATCGATGACTAGGAGACCGGGGACATTGAAGACGAATTCGTTGTCCTTGTTAACGACAGCAACCTTCTTCTGAAGTGCCTCGACGGGGAAGTAGGTGGCACCAATTTGTTGTGTGATACCTCCGGCCTCGCCTTCTTGCACGTTGGTCTGACGGATCTTGTCGAGCAGCTTCGTTTTACCAGTATCGACGTGACCAAGAATACAGCAAATGGGAGATCGCAGATTGTCCTTTGACCGCGCGGCAAGAGCCTCCTCGTGTGCCTGCTTCCGTCTTTCGGCGGCGGCAGCTTTACGAGCGGCTTCGGCACGCTGGGTAGCAGTGCCTTCCTCGTCTTCGGATGAATCGTCTTCGCTGTCGTCTTCGGAATCAGAGTCTGAGCTGGTATCCTTGGACTTGGAGGCTTCGTCTGCTGTAGACTTCTCCGCTGCCGCCTTCTCTTCCTTGGCCTTCTTCTCGCTTGCTTTGCGCTCTTCTTCCTCGTCGGTATCAACATCCCAGCTGTCTTTGACTCCCTCCAACTCGTCAGCTTGGGCTTCCCAGTCGTCGGCAGAGTCACCGTCCTCGCCCTTCTTCGCTTCGGCGTCAAGTTTAGCCTTCTCTGCGGCCTCAGCTGCAGCGGCGGCTTGCTCTTCGGCTAGCTTGAGTTCCTCTAGCTTCTTGGCGGCCTCCTCAGCTTCGCGAGCCTCCTTCTCCTGTTGGGTCTCGGCTTGCTTCTTCTTCTTTTTCTTGCGGTCATCGTACACTGGCTTCTTCTTCTTGTCAGCCTCGTCGGCAAGTCCAGCAACCTTTGTGCCACCTTGCTCAAGCAGCTGCTGCAGACGGAGTTCGTTCTTTGCCTTGGCCTCTTTCTGAGCCTTTGTCATGTACTTGCCCTCTTTCTTCAGCTGCTCGATCTTTTCCTTCTCTCGCTGCTTCTTCAGAGCCTTCGCTTCCTCTTTCTTCTTCTGTTCCTCGGCCTCTTGTGCCTCAAGCGCCTCCAGCCTAGCTCTCTCTTCGGCTTCTGCGCGCGCAATCTCTTCCTCCCTCCTCTTGCGCTCTTCCTGTTGTTTTTGAAGGGCAGCTAGCGCAGGGTTGAGCTTCTTCTTCTTGCCACCAGCAGCGGGGGTGGTGTCTGCGGTAGCGGCTGAGGGTGCAGCAGCGGCTTCTGGCTTGGCTTCGGCAGCCTTCGCGGGTTCGGCTTTGGCAGGACCAGTGGCCTTCTTCTTCGCAGCCTAGCATGCGGTCAGTACACACTCATGCGATGAACATGGTAGATGCTGCGAACATACCAATTCCTTCTTTCGCTGCTTCTCCTTCTCCTTC